TGGTAACGTCTCTGACTGTGAAGCTGGGTGACACGAGATCGAATCCTCCAGGGAGCACTAGTTCCCTCAAGATTACAGGTACACCTTGTTGACGAGTGTCAAATAGCACGAAACCCAGATCCAGGGTTTCCTGTTGACTACCTCCAACCACCATCTAAATATATATCAGTCATGTTTTAAGTGACTGTTCATTAATTTATTGTACAAAATACTTTAAGTTGACCTGTTTATGAAAACTTAGACTATTGTATGTAAACATTGTTTCATTAAAATCGGAGCATATCATAAATATGTATTGGTTCAGTTTATCACGTTTTAACAGATCAAAGTGAAAAGCTACAATCGATGAAGTGCAAATCATGTCGGAAGTGAATACAGATATTATTAATGGAATTAGACAATGGTTGTGCTATATTATCACAAATTGATGAAAGTTTGTAATGTGGAGATCATGAGATTTCAACACAATGGTTTTGAAGTTAAAGCGTTGAACAAAAAGAATGAAGGTACTGTGTTCGATCTGTTTGTGAGTAGGGACGAATGGAGAGTTTAAAAATGGAAATAAACAAACGACTACTGACTTTTAGTTTCGAATGTTTCTTCTATAAATGTCAGTCTAGACCGACTTCTAAGTAAGCGGTCTTTACTAACTCTTGTGAATATAGAAAGATTTCAAATGAAGACAAGCCACTGAAAACAGCTCAATATCATACGACTTGATATTTTCAAACAGATTTTTCAGCAATCTCGGGTAGATTATTGACCCAGTTGACAATCGATGAGAAACAAAATGATGGCGGCGACTTTGTGATGTTTGATATAAAAGTTTCCTTCTGCAAACTTAGAAAAGGATGGATTATAGTGTCGGTTGATATGTTAAGCCCATATATCTTATTCTAGGTTTCGGACAGGCCGATCCATTCATTCGTAATATATTATCGATACTTTGTCATCGTGTCAACTATTCTAATTGATCCATTTGTCCATTATGATTCAAATTATCATCATATGCTTATTAGTACATTATTATCATAACTCCGCTTCTAGCTCTTCTAGAGTTACTGTCGGTCCCAAGCCCGGGTAAAGGAGGAGGGTTGAGCATGGGGTTAGCGACCCTATCCCGTAGAAAACTAACTCGCTAAAAAAACACTAACCAGAAAAAATAATTCGAACCATTTTAGCTCTGCCCTGAGAGTTAGAAGGTTTTCATTTAGAAGAATTATGACGCTTCATGGTGAAAGCCGAGTTCCTTTGGAAGCCACGAGGCCGATGCCTCTTCTAACAACCGGAGCAACAATTTTCATAGGTACATGGAGCGTCCGAACAATATGGGAGACCGGGAAGACCAGTCAAATAGCAACGGAAATGAGGAGATACAAATTGGCAGTACTGGGAATCAGCGAAAGCCATTGAACCCAAGCTGGACAACAAGGGCTAAATACGAGAGAGATGCTGCTCTACTCCGGTCATGAAGAGGAATATGCTCCACACACCCAGGGAGTTGCTCTAATGCTGTCCAAAGTAGCACGAAATGCACTTGTAGGATGGGGATCTCACGGATCCAGAATCATCAAAGCATCGTTCAAAACAAAGAAGGAGGGGATTTTAATGAATATTATCCAATGTTATGCACCCACCAATGATAGCAACGACGACATTAAAGATCAGTTCTACGAGCGGCTGCAGTCAGTCATTGAGAAATGCCCAAGAAAGGACCTAACTATTCTGATGGGAGATCTAAATGCCAAAGTCGGAATAGACAACACTGGATATGAAGATATTATGGGACGACATGGACTGGGAGAAAGGAACGAAAATGGAGAAAGATTTGCAAATCTATGTTCATTCAACAAATTGGTCATAGGGGGCACAATATTTCCACACAAGCGTATACACATGGCTACATGGATCTCAGCAAACCACACTACAGAGAACCAGATAGATCATATTTGCATCAACAAAAAATTCCGAAGGACAATGGAAGATGTGAGAACCAGGAGAGGCGCTGACGTAGCTTCAGATCACCACCTAGTTGTAGCCAATTTAAAACTGAAGCTAAAAAAGAATTGGACAAACAGCAATACAAAGGTTCAATACAGCCTTCCTTCGGAATACTGACAAACTCAATGAATTCAAGATAGCTCTCAACAACAGGTTCCAAGCCTTACAAGATCTACGGAAGGAAGAAGAGACTAGTATGGAGGACAACTGGAAAGGTATCAAAGAAGCATTAACTTCAACGTGTCAAGAAGTCCTGCGTCTAAAGAAGCATCATCATAAGAAATGGAGCTCTATAGAAACACTGGACAAGATCAAAGAAAGGAAGAACAAGAAGACAACAATTAACAACAGCCGAACACGAGCAGAGAAAGTCCAAGCACAAGCTTAATACATAGAAGCAAACAAGCAAGTGAAGAGGAGCATTAGAGCCGACAAGAAGAAGTACGTGGTAGAACTAGCAACGACGGCGGAAAAAGCTGCAAGAGAAGGAAATATGAAACAGCTTCACGATACAACGAAGAAACTATCAGGGAAATACAGTAAACCAGAGAGGCCGGTCAAAGACAAAGAAGACAGGCCAATCACTGAAATTCAACAACAGCGGAACAGATGGGTAGAGTACTTCGAGGAACTCCTGAATAGGCCGGCTCCAATAAATACATCGGACATTGAAGCAGCACACAGATCTCCTTATAGATGTCAATCCACCAACAACGGAAGAAATCAGAATGACCATCAGACAAATCAAGAGCGGGAAAGCAGCAGGACCTGACAATATACCAGCTGAAGCACTGAAGTCAGACATCGAAGCAACTACAAACATGCTTCACCTTCTATTCAAAAAGGTTTGGGAGGAGGGACAAGTGCCGATGGACTGGAAAGAAGGACACTTCATAAAGATTCCAAAGAAAGATCTGACCAAATGTGAACACTACAGAGGCATTACACTACTATCAATACCAGGGAAAGTCTTTAATAGAGTGTTGCTGAACCAGATGAAAGATGCAGTAGACGCCCAACTTCGAGATCAACAAGCTGGATTCCGTAAGGATCGGTCGTACAGTAGAACTGCCTTGACGTTTGTATTGGAGTTTCTCACTTTAATATTGGTTGGCAGTTGTTTTGAGTTCCATATGTTCCTCAAGTGAAGGAATGCGGCAACCCAATCACTCTTGATGGCGAAACTCTGGAAGACGTAAGATCTTTCACATAACTGGGAAGCATCATCGATGAACAATGAGGTTCAGATGCAGACGTAAAGTCGAGGATTGGCAAAGCAAGGGCCGCATTCCTATCTCTATTTGGCCTTAATTGCGTTATTTCTGGGATTCCTGTTTCGTACAATAATTCGAATACTTCTAATCATTGCATACCCCCTGTCGGATTTTATGTCATCTAGCTTCATAGTCTGAGAAGTTGATAATGAGATATTCATGTTGTGACTTACCTCCTATGGCACCTAGATATTTACGATTAACTGATTGCTTAGTGATGATCAGTTTTATGTTCTTTTGGTCATTTTATTGTCGATCGGATTCTATCGATCAAATTAAAGTGTGATTAATAGTCTAACTTACGTGACGACGTGTGAACTGTGTTGAATGGTTGAAGGTATTCGACAAGATTAGCCAAAAGTAATATTAGACACTGCTCAGTAATCAATCAATGATAAACTTTCATTGTAGAGGCTGGTACTATGTCAAACACACATAGATTATTCTAGCCTCTGGACGGATCAATTTATTCATTCTTCTCTAACCACATTTTGATCTCGTCACCTATTAATCCTGTTTTTATATTATCGTATATGTTCTAATAACCTACCCTACTAATCACACGTCTGTAACTTATTTTTATTTGACTATAAATATCGATCAATGCTTGATTAAATCGAATTGGAACACAGGCCTTCTCCACCGCGTGTCGATCCGTTTCGCTTCGCTCCTCTGATTGTCTATTCAGGCCAAAGTACAGAATAAGCGTAAACTAACATCATTCTGGTATTTGACTTATTTAACTACGTCATTCACTAACTCGATTAAAGTCGATAATTATGTACGAGGATAGACGATATGTATATTTCAATAACAATCCGAAACAATCCACTTGGAGTCAATTTAAGGGGCGCTAAACTATCTTACCGTTGTCAATACCATCTAAGTAATTCACACAATGTGCTTTCAATTACTGATAAAATTAATTGCCACTGAAGATTAAATTGTGTTTTAAATTAAAATATTTGCATATTTAGAAGTCAAACAAATTTGTCACAAAAGTCATGCTGAGCAACACATTGGAATTGTAGTTGAAAATAAGTTCGGACGTTTTATAGAAAGATGAAATAAACGGTAATGAAGATGTAAATCACATATCACTTACTGCAATTACTATCAATAAATAATATATTTGTAATATCCCATAACTATTAGTCACACTCCGGGTGCTGGGGACGGGGCTTCAGCTAGTTTAGGCGACTGGTCTACGGTTCACCAACTTGATGGAATTGATGCTTCAAAAGTGAATTTATTATGTGAGGGCAGCAGCAACAATACGTCATCTGTATTAGGCGTTCTCAACAGAGTAGAGTTCTGTGATCGTTTAGAATCCATAGTTCTTCGGCTTGAAAGGATAGCACAAACAATAACACCAGGTAAGTCCTACGTCGATTTGTTCATTACACAGAAAAAACTCCTGGACTGGTTGCTTTTGAACAGATTATTGCTAATAGCCTTAAAAACTATATCGCATGTAGTAGAAAGTTGGGAGGAAACATACAATCTCAGGTAACTACAATCCATTGTCTACTTGTAGTCATTATGTGTCCAAAACGCTTTCGGCTTCGTCAGGGATCTCATTGAACTATCCAACATTTATAGCAAACCAACTGAAGTGGATATGGATATTCACTTAAAGCCTCTTCATTATAAGATGATTGAAATAGCAGTACGTTAATTCTCCGTAATAACTTAAATGAAGTCAAGAACTTCAGGGTTGGAGCTATGTCCGTACGGAAGTGTCAGCTATCGACCATCGCAGATTCTGTCCTTATACTGAATTGGGTTGGGTCTGTAAGTCTACAGATTCGTAATATAACAAATCTTAGTCTTCAGCATCGCAGTACGTTAAAGAATTGAAGGACTCAACATGGTTGAACGCTAACAAAGTCTTTCAGTATTGTCGTGAGAGGTAAGTTATCTTCTGGCATAAAAGCGTGAATACTATTATTAACCAGATGCGGCAATGTTCGCTCTGTGGATTCCTTACTGTTTGCTCCTAAATGTCTAAGGATTACTTGATGTAACTAAGTGATTGACTCGAAATGGGCTATTGGGTATCACGCCTGTAAAGCCTTGGACTAGAGAATACATGCTTACTCTATGTTATCGAAACACACTTTCGCATCTTAACTTAGTAAGGTAGATCAAAAGTTTGGACTCATTTTGATTTTGTTCGTATCAAGGTTCACATTTACTGTCCTTGTCTTCATAGTAAGTACTTCAATAGTGTGTTTGCCTACGTACTTAGAATTCGTCAAGTGTGTTAATAGTAAAGACTTCATTAGGGGAAAGTTTGTTTCATGCAGGTTAGCTTTTGAAACCTGTTACAGTCTTATGCATACGTCATTAGTTAGTATTCATATATAGTGGAAATGAATATTTATACAATTCTTACGAGTTGATTTCATGAATTAAAATCGAAAAGCAGTTGTACAATAAATAACGGTCAGTAACTATTCAATTGTCTCTGTAAGTCGATTATTTTGCGTCATTAATTCCCGAAATGAATAAATTCACATCATTTTACTTCAATGATCCTTTTAAAAAAATAATTATGTATCACAGTATTGATGCATCGACTAATATTTACCAGTTTAGTGGAACTGGTGTAAGTTAGTTCACTCAGGTACTCAGAGTTGTTGAAATGGAAAGCCACCAACTTATATTTATACCATAATCTGTTCGGCTTTATTTAGGAATGTTTGTCTATTATTGCTTTTCCTTCCATTCAGTCAAGTCTATCGGAAAGATATGTTGTGTACGATACCAAGTGTAGGATATATTCATTTTACCACTTTTTGCAAATGAGAAAGTAATTTTCCCTCACTTTACATGTCCTTTTTACTGCGATTTTTGTATATAGCCTTCCTGAACATGTTGAGTGGTTACGCTCATGGCTTTCTTGTCTGGATGAATTGTGCGTAGTTGTTGGAGAGCATTTTCCATACGGTCTAAAATGGAATAAAAATGGTCCCAAACTACCCTTACCAACTGTTGAAATACGCCCAATTCAGTCTTTACAAGAGGTTCGTACCAATACACATGAAAGAACTTCAAAAAAGGTAACAAAGTGTTTTTATGTTGCACGGACTATCAGTTTTGCTACTTGACATCTCTCCTATTTTTATTACTATGTAGACATTTCAACGATCAACTGTGTTATTATCCTGGCATAAAAAACGATAATAAGAATGGCAACACTAATCAATCTTATTTGGGCAAAAATACATACATTTCTATATGTTGAACCGTTTAAACTGAAGCCTTTTAGATTTGTTTGTTAAATGGTAAGATCTGTGTAGTTGATTTAGCTTCATGATTCAGATGAATACTTCAAAAAGTAACTGCCATGAATAGCTTTATCTAACCTCATAGGAAAAAGTATTGACTAGTAGGCTTGTTTAAGACTAACTAAAAGGAGTAAAACAGCATATTAAAGCATCAACTCCAGCCGTTTCCTCGAATTTGCATATTTTTTTATCCTTAAGTATTAAGGTTAGTTTTCGCTTCAAATTTATCTATGATGAGTAGTTTTGTTCAGAGTGACATGTTTTAATAATCTGTACTAAATCGGACAGATTGCTTATGTTCATATGACAATTAGATTTTGCATTTAGGTGCGAAATGATGTAAAAGACACTTTAGTGATATTTGACAGCACACAGCAAATTGATATCTTTTCTTATAAATTCTAATATATTTAAAAAGGTATTATTCACTATATAGTGTTTGTAGTCTTACGTTCCAGATATTAAAATAGATCTTTGAAAAGGATATAAGTGGTCAATTGTTTTATGTGACGAAAGGTTTAATATTACCGAAATTCTAGTCTAACAATTATGTGAAAATTCATTGAGGCCCAGTAAATTTATTATACCTCGAAGTTAGATGTCATGATCTGTTAAAAACATTGGTCGACAGGTTTTCAAAAACGTTTTGCTACCAACATCCCAAGTTAAGAGTTAAAATGATATGGACATTTCAATTGTAAGATGGTGACGCATCACAAAGAACTAATTAGAAAGGTAAAATGAAACATTAAAAGAGCGGTTCTTGAATCGTGGGAACTTTATTTCAAACGAAAACTTAATGTGTTTATACCAGTGTAATCTATACAAATAAAATGAAATGACAATTACTGAAATTACTATAAATAAATAATATATTTGTAATATCCCGATGAGTAGAAAAATGAGATTTTCTGACGCTTCGTGACTCGGTGTAAGCCAATTCTTCAGAGAACAAATAAAAATTAATCCGAGTTTAAATAGTATTAAATAAATATCCCGATATATATACTTTTCGAAGGCTCGTCAACCACAATAAGTCCTACAAATAGGGGGCCAAAGAGATTGTGAATCCGTTCGTAATCGGTAACAAATCAAAATTAATCCAAGTTTAAATAGTACGACGGAACAACAAGAATATTATTTATTTATAACAATCTACCCAATGCTCAATTTATTCGAAATTATCAAGTCAAACATTGGTAATAATACTTACAAACTATATCATAGTTTGCTGCAGAGGTGTATGGAGATCAATTTAGTTTATAGATAGCCTTTGTCACAGACTAGTAGACTTCAACCATGCCAGAAATGAGATAGTTGCCTGCCAATGACATGGGACGATTGCCTCATCATATGGCCAATTCATTAAAATCAACGTATTTAGACTCAGTAATGGTCTAATTATAATGTGCTCATCGTGAGGTACGAAGTTCTTAGTTTCAAGACTTAACTGGATCATAGACACACAATGTCCTATGATTTTGAGTGGTCATTTAATTGGTGAAAGTTCGTGCTGAAAACCATCTACAATTATCTGGACAACAATTTATCAAGAAATATGAAGTTCAAGTTAATTATATAAAGTAAACTTGAAGTCAGATGCTGTCAATAGAGATGAAAGTGCAAACACCAAGCAAAATATATGTTCAATCAAAGAGAACAACACACGAATCGATACTCTTCTCGTCATCATTCACACTTTAAGTATGTAAGAAATGTGATTACTACAAAGTATATATATAGGGATATCCACTTAATATTTGATAACTTTCCACCAAATTCTAATCGAAGTTAACATAAACAGTCATGTAATTTTTTTACCGAATAAAATTTCCTAGAGATTATATCTTCCCAGTCAGCATTCATTTCTCGAATCGTTTGTAGACCGAAAGTGTTATCAGTATAGTGGTCTGATCTTGTTCAGTTAAATAGCCATGACGAAAGTTTCATGACTCACCAGTCAGTCAACTGTTTATCTTGTCAAATACTTCACTATTCATAATTTTTAGTGAATAGTTATTATTCTCAACATTTACAAAATTGAGATTAAAGTAAACATGTTACCGATTACGAGCGGATTCACAATCTCTTTGGCCCCCTATTTGTAGGACTTATTGTGGTTGACGAGCCTTCGAAAAGTATATATATATCGGGATATTTATTTAATACTATTTAAACTCGGATTAATTTTTATTTGTTCTCTGAAGAATTGGCTTACACCGAGTCACGAAGCGTCAGAAAATCTCATTTTTCTACTCATCGGGATATTACAAATATATCATTTATAACAATCTACCCAATACTCAATTGATTCGAAATTATCAAGTTAGACCTTGGTAATGATGCCTACAAACTGGAATTACTGTTCTTGCTCCAAATAGGATTCAGACAACTCATTTCCATTTGATAAAATTCATTTTTATTTGTGTGTTACGTCATCTCACAATCTCTGTGGCCCCGTATATGTAGAACTTATTGCGGTTGAAAGGCTTCAAAAATTAGGGTCCACTGGATATCCCCTTTATTCTTCATTAGAAACCAGCCGCAGTTAGGACTAGTCAGTCTCCTAGTGCATCAAACCTGAAGTTCCTAGCCCATATGACAATATTTTTAAGTTAAAATGTTAACCTTAATATCAGTAGTCTAGCGCGACAAAGCTTCAATACCAATATGCTTTTTGACGTTATTTCCTAGTAAGTTGACCTGATTACTTATTGCTCAATTGCACCGTACTGTATGCACTAGGGATCGACCGATATTCTGTTCATTATCTTAAAAACTTGAACATATGATTCAGGTACCCTGGTCAATAGTAGTTACCTACCATTTATAAACACTTACTTCACGCGCTTTGATTTGAAATGCTAATTGTCATACTCAGTTGACGGTGACATTCAATAACTTAAGCCATACTTGTATAAAATTTGTTTATATTCCAATCCATCGCAGAAGGTTTTCAAAGTAGGACATATGTAATTTATTTGAGTCCAAACACTAATCAATTTTAATTTCGATCATCAAACCGGATTAATATTACACCTGTTTTATTGGTCGATTGCTTTCATCATTAAACACAAATGCATCAATAAGCTCATTGATTCGTCGGGTAATTTTTTCTCTTGCTCTCTTCGAGATTCTCCCTCACACACCCTCTAAGCACACAAAGTACCTTCAGGTTAGACAAAACCTACCAACGGTTAAAAATTACATGTTTGCACAAACAACTATTGATAAAGTGTTTTAATGAACCTGATGAGAATGCAATTTATGATATTGGAATAAAATGCTAACTAGATTGTTTTTGCTTATCATACAAATGAGTAGAGCACCATCATAATGCATATTTCATGCCATGCATTTCCTAACATAAACCCAGTTGAACTATCCTTCATACGAGTTGGACAAGTAAGCTATGTAGCGAAATAATTTATAGAAAAATTACCAGCATTTAATTCAACAAGTGTCATTTAGTGAATACGTGACACAAATAAATAACGTCATGTATTTTTATGAAATGATGACCTTGTACAAAAAAGTAGACTGCTTCCAGTTCTCAGCGGACAATACCGGAAACTAGAACGGCCATGTATATCTTCCCAGGAATAGTAAGAGGTGACAATATTTTACGAAGTACGTAACTCTCTGCTCCACTAATAAGAATCCGATTAGGGTCTGCCTGTGAAGAAACGAATAAAGGTAACTGACGGAGTTTTCTTGCTGACCACTCCAATCCTCTAGGAAGCATGAGTTAGGGAGAAAGTAGGGTCATACTTTGAATAAATGTTTTGTATGGAAACCGGGGCAAATGATGCCAGACACCTAATTGGTTGCTTTTTATAGCATATTATCCAGAAACCCAGAGCTAAACCAATCCCAAGAGATTCATGAGCTAATAATGCGACAGTTATACGTGAGTATGACCATTGTTTGGTATCAATGTTAAAATGTTGGAAAAGCTTCTCAGCCACACTGCCGAGCGTCATAATATCCACAAGACCTAAAGGAATAAAGAAAATCATAGAATTAAGTCCTTCAAAAACTAAGGATAATTTACGTATATCGTGACTAAAGGAACCTGTTTTACACTTAAGTTTGTACGGATAAGATCTTCGATAACCCTGAATTAAATTATACTTCAATGGTGCATAATTCATTTAAGTTGTAAGAACTTGACAAATACAATATCAGGACGTTTAGTATAACTCTATTCCATCCATACCTTTAGCTTAATGCATGAGCGAAAGTCGACTTCTCATGACATAGACTAATGCGTAAAAATCCATAAACTGACGGTTTTAATCAAGAAATACTGCTTAGTTATAAAACAATTAACAATACGAAATAGTATGATAACATCTTTGACCATAATAATTAAAACAATCCAAATTATCCCATCGATTAAGGATATATATATATATATACATATATAATAACCTCATAATTTTGTGTCCTTATACAAACGCATTTACAAAGTATGTCGGTTACTGTAATCCACGTACACTCGTGGTTTAAGGTAGTGCACTTAAATACACCGATGTTACCGGATGGAAAAGGGTCCGTATGTAAATCTGAAGGGTTAAGGAATGCTCGAAACCTAATTCGGCCTCCATCAACTACTTCTGTTACGAACCCTGGTCTACCTTGTGCAATAACTACATTGTCCGGCCTTGTGGCTGATAGCTTTGAATTTCTGTAACTCATGATCTTCTTGGTAGAATCATGAGTTACTCAGACTCAGTGACATTGTCAGCTATATCCTGAGTCAGTATACT